CGCGAGAAAAAAATGGCACGGTTTTCCTTCACGTCACGCACGACGGACTAAGCGAAAGAGGGACTACTCGTAGTCTAAAGAAGAGGGGAAACTATCACTTTACTTTATTTTCCTTCCGCGTGTAACTAGCGCTTCACGTAAGTTGTAGAACGGAGACTCCCTCAGATATTTCTAGACTGCGTGATACGAGACGAGGCAAGGGAACAGTACAAGCGTCACGCTTTCCCCGGGACGCTTCCTAACACGAATAAATTTGCTGGGACCAAAAACATTAAACGATGTTTTCTTCCTCATCTTTAGCGGATACCATCCCCATATCGGTTGTACAAAGGACTCACAAAAAATGAAAGCAGTTTTCAAGCGACCAGGGCTGGCCGATGTTAAGAGTGACTACCAGCAGACTTACACGCTCCACGATGGCGCGAAGCCGCGCAATGCGAGGAAACCTCTCCCACGACTGAGAAACCCCAACCCACCCCCCATGGATTTCAGAACTGTTCAAAGACTCGACTTCATTACGAGGAAATCTGAACCGCAATCGAGCTGCAAGGTATGGAGCTAATATTTTTAAGTGAATGGTTGATTTTGTTTTTGTTGGTGTTGCCCCTTTTATACAGTTATCTACTTCATAGGGAAGGGAACTAAATATCTTCAACAGTTTTGACCGCTCTCGATCTCAGATGGCGAGTTAAACCCGCAACAAATCTCGCTTTCAGGCGAGTCGAATGAAATATAGCCTGTACGCATTAAAGCTTGATGAACGCAAATTCATCAGCCGGCTTTTTTGGTTTCATTTCTCAGTTCTTACCAGACGCTAAAAGCTTCCTGTTAATATCTACCTATGTTCTTTAGTTTGTGGAAGAATACAAAAGACCAGACGCAAAAATAGACGGAAAGACCGTGTATGCACAAGACTTTGTTGACCGAGGCCCTTCAGAAGTGGTGAAGATAACTCGACCACAGACTGTCACGCAAGGTCAGGGGCTGAAATTCCAATCCGCTACCACTCACAACCAAACGTTCACGCCCAAAGTGCCTATTCCGCAAGCTCCGTTTGCCGAACTTCCGTGTTACACGGGCGCTATCCTATATCCTGAAAAATTCGGAAAGTATGACGTGAAAACGTGGAATCAAGACGTGTACCGTGGCAAGTTCGCGCCGCGTCCCGACGCGTTCAAGCCGAAGGAGGCACAGGTGACCATTGGCATCGAAGGAGATCACTTTCTACGGACGGTTCACAAGGATGAGTACAAGACGCCAGACAATGACGCGAGACCGGAGATGAAGATTCGCCAGCCAACGCTGAAGACGCAAAAACGCGCCAAGTTTCAGAGCGACACCCAAGCCAAGAGCGACTTTCCGGGTTTTGGCGCGAAAATGCCTTTGCCGCCTAAACCCATTTCACCGCCCCCTGCCACACTCAGACTGGCCATGGACAACGCGCAAGATTTTGAGACAACCAATAAGCAGTTTTACAAGATCACGTGGGATCCGAGTAAGATTGAACGCACGAAACTGCTGAAACCGGACGGCGGAGATTACGTTTCACCGGATACAAAATTCGCCACCACCACCATCACCAAAGAAGACTTCAAACAGAAGGAAGCGGTCAGGGCACCTAAGATAAGACCGCCTTCGAAGATCGAGCAGAGCAGAGCGAAGTTCTTCGACGAGACCGCTTACAACGCGCAATTCAAGCCGTACAGCAAAGTACCGTACGTCCGCTACGGCGACCTCCACGAGAGAAGCTTTTACCACAAGCCAGTGGTGAAATTCCACACGGACGGTTCCGTAACGACACAGGACTTTAAGGGGGCTGAAGGCGGACGGCCAAGAACGAGTCTCAAACCGGAAGAGAGGTTCGAGAAGTCCACTGACAAGATGCCTGGTGCGACAGCTTACAATGAGGCTTACAACCGCAAGAAGCTTCCCGAGTGTTCGTACGTAGAATGGATGAACAAACACTTGGCAAAGAAGGCATTGGCTACAGTTTGATATGAACTTATAC